ACCTTACACTTCCTGCTGGTGACTTCCAAAAGACTAGAATTTTAAATAACGTCATCCTGCAGTTTTACTCAGATTTATCTAAGGAATGTAAGAAGTTTTAAATAGTAAATATTTCTATTTAAAATTTGCTTTTTTAGCGATCACATTTTCGTGTTATAACATGTGAAAAATAAGATCATCCACGTCGGTAAACTTTACTCTAAAAACGTCAAAACAAATATAATATAAAAAAGTTCATTGTTCTTAAACTAAACCGAAGCCATTACCCTGTTTTTATTGCATGCACTAAAAAAATCGACTAGTTATGTCAATATTTTCTTTTATAAAATACATTTTAAAAAACTATTTCAGTATTAACATAGAAAGAATGTGTAAAGTGTCTATGTAGAAATTTGAAATTAAATTATCCACTTGACTTTGCGTGCGTTGATAACAATGACGCTAAAGCGACAAACGTTAATTACCATTTTATTTAAAAAATATCCATCAATTCTTTAGCAATATTACACGAACAATAAAAAAGTGCATAGGTAATAAAATCAAACGTGTGACACACAGTTGTATTTACTCAAATGCAGATTCAACTTGAGCAAACATGCCAGGAACTCGCGCCAAAATACAAGCGTTGTAAAACAAACATAATAAATTATTAAAGGAAAAATAACATTCAAACACGGAATTAATGAACGTGCCTAACTTTCAAAAGACTAGATTAGCGAGATTTCCCTTGTTCTTTCCTTAAAGAACCGCGATTGGATATATCTTAATCTCTAATGCAAACACCACAATCACCGTCTTTGTTGCTCAAGTCACTGGAGGAAGAACATAAAAGTAAATAGCATAATTTCAAAACCTGATAGTGATATGTATAATCTTTTGCGCAGAAAAAAGTTCCCTATTTCTTTGTCCCAGGAGAATGACCCGTTCCACTTTCCACATGTTACATTTTTACACTATATTTTTAAATAATGATTGAATGAAAATTTTTGTTTATAAGAAATAAAAATACAGGGTGTTTCACATAATTTTACGAGGCCGGCGCCTGTAAAATGCAATCAATAATACATATTCCAATACGAACTCGGTTACAAATTTGGAAAAATTGGATAATCTTCTCTAGTTTGTTCACCCTTTCAAAAATTACAACGTTTTTAATTAGTTAGTGATTAAGATAAATAAAGTCAAATCATATTCGTCTCTTTATAGAACAAATGATAATTGTTTCTGAAAAACTGCAATTTATAACTATTATTGAATCAGTGATTAGTTTGCTACTGGGGTTTCCAAAAATTAAATAATTAAATGTGTATTTTTTGTATCTAGTATTTTGTGTCATTTGTATATTTGAGTGCGTACATTAGGCGCAAGCCTCGTAAAGTTGTGTGAAAAACCCTGTAAGTATGTAATATAAAATTTTTCCTTCATTGGGTTCATATAAATCAGAGGGAATGGTTAAAATTACTAAAAAATGTAAAGCGAAAGTTGTAGAGAAATAACTTTGCTGTTAAACAGCTTTTATAGCATATTTCATTTTTAATGCAGTAAAGCCGTGTTTCTTACACAAGCACATCGAATGCTACGTTCTATATTTCAATATAAATGTAATATGTTTTTAAACAAAAATCAGTAGGTACTATGAGAGGCGTTTTTTTAATATTCCATACTTTTTAAGTAATTCTTCATAACTTCGCTCTCTTGATCATAGAGGAACTATCTAATATACCTAATGTTGGTTTAAGTCAATGACAATAATGTATGTATTAGTATTTTATACTTAGTTATAGGTACTTGTTGACATTACTTTTATTAATAAGAAATAATTAATATAATAGGTAAATAATATCTACAAAAATATGTTTATGAACAATAAAAATCATTGCTCTAAAAATATTTTCAAATAATATACCATTAAAGAGCTTGCTTCTCGTCATTTCTTATTGGCAAAGCATTATGCAAGAATAAAAAAAGTTAGTTTTTACTTTATTCACAAGTTTCGCAAAAATAAATAGCATTTTTTCTAAATTGTTTTATATTACTGTCAAATATTTCCAAGTAAGTGTATTTAACATTTAAAACATACATAGTTTAGTTTAACAACTTTGTTTTTGTTTTTTACTACTGATTTTAAGTACTATTCGTTAACAAAAAATCACAAATCAATGGACTAGTAAGCAAAAATGCAAATAGTGTGATGTCAAAAAACATGGTAAACATTATAAATTACATGTTTTTATATTCTCAAATTTGAGAAGAACAAAGAAATTATCTGTGAGCAATAATTCCAGCAATTAACCTACTAGCCGCGTTGGCGTTGGCAGCTATAAAATATCTCATTCATTTACAAACTCACATAACTTTTCCCCGTTGGATTTCTTTGTAACTTTAATTTTTGTACAAAAGTTTCTAGACTTGGAAGTTTTTATCTTGAAAAATATGTAATATTTGTGTGATTTGTAAAAGTTTGTTAGAATTGTTACATATAAGAGATAATTATAATAATTAATGCTAAGGTTTAAAACTATTTTCTTTAAAATAATAAATATTTTACCAACCAATCAGACACCTAAGCGATACCTACTAAGTAAAAAATCAATTCTTTCACACGACTGTACCCTAAAAATGCCTTAAAACTAATTTTTACTATTATTCTATCCACTACTGCTTCTACTGCTGTTAACTACACTGCAGTATATACTGTGTCAACAGGTAGTGTGGTAAAAACTAAATACAAGTAGGAAAAAGATAGTGCCTTTATAAATATGCTGTTTGTTTACAAGTTTTGCAATTCTACATAAAAATAAACAAACCTTATTAGCAGTATCTTCAAATTGCTGTGGAATAACAGTCCAAATTTGATTTTGTCGAAAACACATGCAGGTGGAAAAGGGAAACATCATTAGTTTACAGACACCAAACCAAACACAAAACAACAGAAACTGTCAAATAATTTAAACAAGTTCTGTGATGTTTAACCGGTAGATGAGATTCACGTCATATCCTTTTGTTGTCACGACGGTCACGTTGTTGTAGCAATGAGAGGGCGCCACAGATGTAGAGCAACAGCATGATATCCCTCCTTCCAAGAATCGCCGGATCGATACAGACTATTCCCTTCAAAAGCCAAAGGATTTGCGAAAGCTTAATTTCGATACAGTTTTATTGTTCATGTAATTAAGTTCCACTTATTAACCGATTGTGGCGGGTCTAATTAAAGTTGCTGGTTTAGGAAAGTTCGTTGTTGATTTAACCGCAAAACACAACTTTGGGTCTCAAAATTATATGCTGAAAGTTGGATATTATGTGGTTGTACTGTAAAAAGCTGACGCACGTGGACAAAGGTCGATGAACTCCGATAAGGCGCCGCTATGCATTTTCACGATCAATTAACCTACTTCAACTTTTTTTATTTCCTTTACTTGATTTATTATAATGTAAATGTTTTTTGCGTATTAAATCCAATTAGTAAGTAGTTTTAAACAGTAAATGTCGCATATTACTTAACAAAACATAACTTTACATTTTTACCTTTGCGTGTGTTCCTGACACCAATACATTTTCAGTTTTTACTCAAGACAATACTCAAATTATAAATACAATATGCATCGTAGAAACAAAACGAATTAATCATTTTTGAAACCACTACTATTCCAACCATAAATTAGCGTCGACACGACCAATATCAATCATGTTCTATTTATTTTATTGTGTCCGATTGTATCTACATTCACAATCCACTACATCAAAATGTGGTGATATTTTGATCTAAAATTAGTTGATAATTACATACTATGCATGCCACAGTTGAATAGGAATTTATCATTTACCCGGCGCATCCACCAAATTTCATGTCAAAATTAAAATATTGTGAGGTGGTATAAATTTAAATTAAATTAATCCATTCACCAAAATATGTTTTTAGGAACCACAATGCATTAAAATATATGTGTAGCATATATAACGTAAATAAGTAAAGGCACATACCAAAAAATATAAGAATAAAAGAAACGTCAAAATTGAGTTAAGTCACAAAAAAAAGTAGTCTAACGTTCCATAAACATTTAACAAATTAGAGAACAACAGATTTTAATGGGTGTGGCTATTAGCAAGAATCAATTGCGTTATTTTTCCATCTCGGGTGCGTTTCCTTGGCTTTCCGTGCGCGTTTGCGTGCGAAAACATGCGATAACTTAAGTACGAGTATGCTAGCAAATTTTAGCTTCTGTTAATGTTGTAGAACTTGGAAAAATTAATTGTACTAAATTAAGCTTGAATTAAAACGAAACTTATTCGCTCAGCGTTTATTATTTACTGTATTCAGGCTGTTCCGGCTAAACCCCGCCTTAAGTATTGGAAGTTCCAACAATTATATTTATATTAAATTGTGTTTTTAAACATAATCGTTAGGTCCTGCTCAATGCTCACCGGAAGTGAGTATCAACTTCGTTATTTTAAATAGAAAGCTATGTATTTTATTGCGTTTTAGATGTACTCAAGTGATTTTGAAAGGGTTTTCATCACTTACACATTTTTAACTTGCGAAATTAACATTAAATGCCAATTCTATCTATTTAAACACATCATTATTTTTTAAATGACATCAAAGAACTGTAACGACTTTCCCAGCGGAAGCGCGACTTCAAAGTTATAAACTTTATCAAAAGTTAAAAGGTCAATCTTTTAAATATCTTTGTTGAAGTATAAGAAAATTTAAAAAGTTTGGGCTAAATATTAAAATCAATATTTTTCTTAGAGCTTTTGTTCTTATTTCACAACGATAAATAACTACAAAACACTGTCAGTTTGGTAGAGGTAAGAAATTTTTCTCGCCTGAAATTATCTTGGGACATGATATCTACTACTTATTTACATTTATTCGTCATAAATAAAAATGTTGCGGAGAAGCCATTATTTGATCTTATTTACCACCTTAGGAAATAAAGAATCTCAAGTGTCTACTAAAAAGGGTTCAATGTCGGCAGTTGTAGAGAATAAAAAACAAATGTTTTAAATAGTTTATTATGTAGCATTATTATTTTTTATATAAATATGTGTACTTAACAAGTTTTTTAATAATTGCGATGTCATTCATTATTATATAATTCGCTATAAATATGTAGATACAATAAAGTAAAAAATGATACACTTTACATCTATAAATGCGATCTTATAACGAAAATGCATTTTTAAAAAAGCGGTTATACAAAAGCTAGACAACATTTAACAAGTTGTGATTATCTCATTAAATAACATTGTAAAATGAGGTAACAAAGTAGACAACATACATATAAAAACAAAACATACATCGTAAACTCTCACACAAAATCAAATTGTTTATAACTATTCAAAAAGAGATGAAAAGGAGTAGTTGACCAGCCGCTCCTTCTTAATTTAGAAGATTCCCTGGATATTCATGATAAAAATTATGCAAACGAGTGAAAATTGTAAATTAATAGCTACAAACAAAATGACTTTGTAGACAGCATAATACTTATTGTTAATATACATTCATTTAAATAATTTTTAGACCGTTTTAGGCCTTGTCAAATTGAGTACTAGCGACTTATAATAATGAACAACAGTAAAAGCATTATTGCACCCATTAAAAAGAAGGGAGAAAAACGTATATCATGTTCACATTAAATCAGAAGGAAGTGGCATATAAAAGCACACCTCCTTTAGTTATTTATAAAAATAACATGAATAAGAAATATACCTAGGCTCTTTCAAAAGATTACCTAAAAGATAATAATAATAAAATTAGCATATAACAAATATAATTCCTTCTTTATACAAATTGTCTGTTTATCGATATTCAAGGCCCTATATTGAGTGTTCTTTATCACGTTAGCTCTCTGGCTCAGCTGGACTTTCCTGGAACATTAAGAATGAACACCACACTTTATCAATGAATTTCACACAAACCTTAATACTGTCCAAGTCTTGAGGGAGTTCTGGTGTAGGCGATTCAGCAACGTTGTTTTCAGTAGGCCCGTGAAGCATTTGTTGTTCATGTAGTCGCTCCCTCATGCGGTAGAGTTCTTTCCTCAGTCTGTCACGTTCTTCTTCAACTTGTTTTACATCACTCTGAAAAAAATAACTTAATAATAGTTTTCCTACAAACTTAAGAATACTTACAAGTAAGGTCGTTAGTTGTGTACTTAACGAGTTGGCAACGTCTCTAACACGATTGGCAGGAATGGAAGGTGGTGATACAGTTGGCAATAATTCCTGGCTTTGGCAAGCTGGGTGTTTGCCACCTGTCGCTGATATAGCTGAAACCTCCGTCACATTTAACGCTTCATTGACGGCTAGGTGCAGCTGATCCACTGCAAAAACCAATCGTAATCAAACACGAAGTTTCTTTATTTGATGCTAGATACCTTGATATACAGCAGCTAAAACACGTTCCGCTAGATCTTTGGAAGACCTCGTATCTTGTGTATCGCTAGCCATATCAGCAATAAGATGGAAGTGCTCCCGAGGAATACTTAATAAATCGGCAACCAGGCCTTCTTTGTCTTCTAATGCCCGTCGCACTTCTTCATCTTTACGACGAATTTGTTCTATTACAACACAAAAAAATCAGTATTTCTCTCGCATCTATTATTTAGGTAGAACATGCACTAGGAAAAAAGCATAAGGTGAATACCCAAGAAGCATACCTAGTGGAGTTAATCTTGATTCAGCAGTGTGCACTGGTGGTACTTCTACGTGGACCTGTGAAGGCTGGATGAGAGGCCACTCATCCGCTGTTACTTTGGTGTGAACACCGCCACCTTCTAAAACCATTACCGTCAAATTTTAACTCGTTTATAAGCGTCGAAAGTGCTATTTTAATTTTATTGGTGCTTAAAATTATGTATTTGATACTACATTTACTTGAAATAGTCAGCTTGCTTCACTACGAAGCTATAAAACCCACATACAAATCGATTTAGTATCAAGTACATAACTCGCAATAGGGTAGGCAAAATATATACAAGACAAAAAAATAATTTTTATATTATAAAATTGTGGGAGAGACAACGTGCAGTGAGTGAACAGTAATTATTATTTAGACAATCGCAGAATAAAATAGTGCCATCAAAAAATAAACAGGACGATTAAGTTAGTGGCTGTTTTCAATGCATTGTACACTGTTGTTTAATAAAACAACATGAGCAAACTGTTTTGGGAATTTTTCTTAGATAAAAATAAAATACTTATATTACAAATCATATTCTTGCTCATAATCTTACTTCACATTTGCGGTTACAATAACCATGAATTTTAATGAAGCTATGCGAGATAGGAGATATTTGTAAACAGTTTGTTTATAGCTTTAACATTTTAACGATCTGTTAATGCAGCGACAATCATTTTTTGTAAAAACAAATTCGGTAAAACATCAACATAAAAATAAATCTGTTCTGTTAAAAAAAAGTAAAAATCACAAAAAGGTAAAGAATTTCTCTACAGTAATGTTCGAATTTTAATTTTTCTCTTCCAATAACAGAACAAGAAAAAATGAATACATACTTCATTTTGCAAAATTCATCTAACGTCAATTACCAATATCTCAGTTTTAATTCTAGCTGCAACACTTTTTTAACAAAATTAAATAACTAAGAAACCGATTGTTACACCATGGTGTCACTATAAATTAAATTGATAAAAGGGTCAATTAATAGGTTAACGAAGTTTAGATATAAAAATTTCATTTTAATTCTGTCAAAAGACGTGTACGAGTAATAAAAACAAATGGAAACAAACACGTAGTTCTCTCAGCAGAACTGTTGCAAGCAACTTTTTAGAAATTACTTATCCACGTCAAATAAACAAAACATCAAATTTTATTTAAATGTAATTAGGTACGTCTCGTAAACATTAAATGACGAGCACTCAACAGACATTAGAAACGTTTAGTAAAATCCAAATGATGTAATTATAAATAGTACAAAATTATTTGTTTGATCCAAAATAAAATCAAATAAACGATTTCTTGTAAGCTTTCTTTATTCGTCAGTGATAAATATTTTGATCTATATTTTACTTTGCATTAAATTTGCAATTACAATTAATTTTAAGCAAGCAAATCTATTTATTAAATTAAAAATTGTTTCTGAAATATACAGGGAGTGCCAGAACTCGCGCCCCAGAGAAAAATTTCAAGTAAGATAAGATACCAGGAACATGAAAAAATGTTTAAAAAATTCAAAAAAAATTGACATTTATTTCTTGACATTTTGACATTTTTTATGTCTATTTAATGATACTGATGCTCTTGTATATGTTTTTTTACAATTATTTAATGAAGATACAAAAATTTTGTCAATAAAAGCCGCAAATAACATTGAACAGAGTTACAATTTAGGATACAGCTTCTTTGTTTCCTCTTCTAATAGACCGTTGCAAAAAAACTTGGAAAATTATTTTTCTAATAGAAATAAATAGAGTCGAAGTACAAATTTTAAACTCTCATAACTCCGGAATTTTTTTAGATAGAATTTTTTTAACATTTTTTCCATGTTCCTGGTATCTTACCTTACATGGATGGCATTTTTCTCTGGGGCGCGAGTTCTGGCGCACTCTGTATAAACAAAATTGGTAAATGCTAATAATATATTGAAAATAATTTTTGCTACTGAATTACTTAGAAGTGGTAATATACTAGTTAAAATATGTTATAATACTTCTTAGAACTTATAGATATTAGTTTTTGTAAGTGTATTTTAATAACATTGTAAACTGTAACTGTTAAATTTACCCTGTTTTCAATGTTGTAATAACCTACTATTTTTTTTACTTACCCGAAGAACTCGGAACTTCCTTCTGCTCCGTGGATCCTTCCTCCTGAGCATCACTGAAGACTTGCTCATCCTCCTCTTCATCGTCAGGAGTATTATCCGTTCCACCAACGGCTTCAGCCCTCTCAGAAACGTCCCGTGTACTGGGAATTTCCTGTAATGTTTCAGACTCATCTGAGTCAGGCTGGGATTCAGTCCTCTTCGTTTTCCCTTCTCTTCGATTATACGCATCCGCTGCATCAGAGAAATGCTTCAGCCACCTGAAATAATCATACATCAAATAACAACCATGAAAAAAATTCACATTATTGACCCCGACAGAGAATGTCTCATGCTAAACTCCGCTATACTCGATTCTCAGAAACCTAATACTTTATCCGACTACTAGAAACATACCTGTGCGAAAATAGCCAAAGTTGATTATAAAATATATTATAGACAAAACACGTGTAGGTTTGTATAAACTCTGGTCGTTATCTGTCAGCAATCAGTTATTCGCACATTTCAGCCCAACATCTGAATGATGACTCGAAACTGCTGATCAAAACAACCCGAAACAATGACTGGCTATTAATGGTACCTTTGTATGAAACTTCCACGCCGTTTTTCGGGACTTAGATTAAGACTACTTCTGCGTTCAGATGGCGATGCACTATTGTGCTCTTCTTCCGACGTTAAAGATTGTCTTCGCGCGGGCACCATTGGTAAAGGTGGCGGCCACATAACACACTGCCCAATGTAGTTATGCAGTACTTACATAAGTAAATATTTAAACGGTCAAGTTTACAACACGCGTCGTTCGCTAAAAATACCACCCGCAAAGAAAAAGCACTGAAGGGAAAGGTGATAAACTCTGTTTAAAATATTAACCGTATAATTAAAATAAATAAAACGTGAGTTTTAACGTAAAACTGCGACTTCACAACGTCACGAAATCGTTTTTGTTCTGGTTGTTGCTCGCATTGAAAGTGTACAGATAGTGTAACAATTCAAATATCATTTAGTCGGATAAAGTTTAAGATATGTATAATGAGAATTTTTTAAGCATTTAATGCCAAAGGAGAACCTGTTTACGATTTATCGACGTATCATAATATTTACTCCGGGCAAAATCGAATTATTAAAAAATAACACTGCGCGTTTGAGAAGTTAACGAGGAGATGATTAGGTTTACTTTAAAGTAATTAATACCGGCGATATTTCGTGACACATCGTAACATCTTATTCCATTCCGAGAAGTTCTAATTAAAATACTTTGTTTAAAAATGGTTGATAGACAAAGGAACAAATTAGGATATTTACTAGGCTGTATAGAAGAGGCTGAAATAATTACTCCTAGCCACCAAGCGTCATCTAGCGATACAATCACAAACAATTACGGGTAATTTAAAAAATAGATTGGATTCTATTTTATAAAAGTTTCCGTTTTAACGTGTCGAAGTCTAAATGCAAAGCAAACAAAAATTGTTAACTACGCAATTTTTTAACTTTTAACAAGTTTTAAAAATAAATAAAAATCAAATAATAAAAGCGGTGTAAAAAATGTTAACTCAAAATCAAAGATTTATCACAGAAAACACTCATTGCTACTGCAATAAAATATTGGTAATTTATTTTAATTATTAATTAAAATTATTATTAATAATTAATTAATATTAATATTAATAATTACTATTAAAAAAAAAACTAATTGAAAGGAAGAAACACATGAATGTTTATAAAACTGTTTTTATGAAAAAGGTTTACAATTTTGCTATATTAAAAAAAATTCATCTCAATTTTTCACTAAAAGGTTTACTATTATGAAATGACGTGAAGATCTAGTTATTTAAATTTTTACAACAAAACATTTTAAACAAGGCGTATCTTGAATCAAACACTACTAAAATTTTCAAAAATTATTTTAGGCAAATAATAAATTTATGCAATTTTTGGTAATGTGTACTTTGAGCAAAATGAAGGATAAATACGCATAGCAATTTCTAATTACTACAACTATCAAAAAGAAAAAATACACATCTTGAATATGGATTAAAAAACACTCTTGGTTTCAATAAAAAAAATCAAAATCCCATATTTTACTCGTAATTCTTTACTCACATACAATTTTAAGACGCCACTGTTTTAATTTTTGACATAATACAAAAGAAATAATTAATAATTAATAATACAAAAAAATTATACAAAAAACATAATACAAAAGAAATAATTTCAGCCACTAGCATAAAAAATATATGTGACCATTTATCTGTTTTGTGATTAGTTAAAATTTAAAGTAACCAACCGGAAACATGAAACGAAGTGATTTTCTCAGATATTTCTGAAAATAAAAATCAGTTTTTGGCGTAATATTCATTTTTTTAAATAAAATCTAGTCATTTTCTGTTGCTTATTAAATGCGAATTTACTCGTAAAAGACTTTAGCGGAATTAAGTGATTTTCAACTTAACCAAAATACTTACATATCTCTATTAATATCGTCGTCTGCTAGGAAATCATACATTTGAGTGCCGTTTGTGGAAGTATTGAATAGGAAGAGCGCTCTTTTACCTATAAAACATTATAAAAAAAAATTCCCACAAATGTTGATTTACTCACAGGCCGCATTATTCCGTACTAACAACGTAGACATCTTAATAATAGGTGAAAGAGGTTGAGGCTGGGCTGAGGAACCTGATTGGAAAAACTTTAAGAAGAATTTATCGCCTTCTTTATGTAAAATAACGACAGCTTCTTCTAATAACAGCACATGAACAGGCACCATTGGTTTGTTCCCTCTTCGCAGGTGCAAATTACCTTCTCTGATTAGTTTGTACTGCGTTAGATCTAACATCTAAAAATAATCGTTTATTATTGCAAATTCATTTCCAAAATATACACTTACCCTAAATTCTTGCGTGATTGGATGATCCGACCTCTCGAAATTCGTCGTGTCTAGATGCCGCTGTATTTCGTCCAATCGTGATTTGTTAAAGGCCACTTTAGCAGCTTCGTTAACATGATTTAAAATGTCTTTGGAAAAGTGATGCGCACGTTTCAATTTCACTAATTCTTCCTGCGCATGTGAACTCGAAGTGTTTGCCTCGACGCTGCTAATCAGACGTTCTAGTAAAAGAGGATATTTAGACAGTCGTTGCATTTCAGTCGGGATAATTCCTTGAAGTGGTAATCGTCTACACTGCCTCTTTTTCTCGCACTCTACTAAAATGCCATCAAATTTCGAATCTCTTTTACGTTTTTCTTTGATAAATTCGAGAGCTTGTTGCTGGCGTTCACAGAAAACTGCAGCGGCCCTTTTAAGCATGTCGCCAACGACGCCACCAAACATTTTGACTAACATGTCACCGAGATTATTCACTAATGGATCTTCCCGTCGTATCCTTTTCATTTCTCTACTAAATTGCGTATGCACATCAAGCATTTCCTTGATATTTGGAAAAATTAAAGCTATTTCGTCGGGTTTTAAAACCTGACTTTCCTTAAGAGTCTTGTAAAAAATCTCACACAGTACTCGAAGGTTCCGCACATGTGAACTCTCCGTATGAAATAGTTCTGCAAACAATTATTTCAATTATTAAATGTTACTCAAAATTCTTACACTTACCGTTAATTACGTCTTGCCTTTTCTTTTCGTGTGGCTGAAGATTACGTAGTTCTTCTTCTGGGAACAATTTCTGCCAATTGGCTGGCTCCATTTCGGCATCGCTTTCCCAGTCGGAACTGGCCTTCCTGTCGCCTCCATCAGTAGTGACGACTTCCACACTATTGCTAGGACTCTCAGACAATCGGCCACTAGTAAAAAAAATCAATTTTAGACTCGGTTTATTCAAATATTTGGTTTTAAAAGCGGGGATAAAAAAACAACACTCTATTATGGAATTGTCAAACAAAAGATATACCCAGAGAGTGGACCGTAATTATAGAAAATAATTGAAATTTTTAATTTTCAATTAACACGATATAAAAATACTTCGATAAGTGACTGTTAATAAATATCTAAGCATGTAACTGATTTTCCGTTATTATTCTGAACAAACGACGACAAAATTCTCCCAAACAAGTGCATACAACATAATCAAAACAAATTTTTTAATATGATTTTCAATATCATCATATTCTTTTATGTATAAAATATATTGCAAATAAGCCATAACTTAAAAAAATAAAATAAATACATTCTAATGCTCTTAGATTAAATGTAAAAAATTAAAATAGAGATATGACTTGAGCAATAATATTTTTTTTATTCAGTATATAAAGTATTAAAAAAATCTGTTTCGGCATATTTTCATTATTCTGTTACACTAAATTTCGAAAATTACCATTCCACCGTAAATACATTATTTTCATACGTAAACAAAGTAACACTTTGATCTAAGAAGGAAATAACTCAACGATGAAAAATCTTTTTTTTATGAGTCGAGTTTAGTCGATAAATATTTTCAAGCATTTGAAATGTTTACTCGTAAAATAGTTCAATTGCTGTAATATTTAGCAATGGTCAATTAATAAATCCCATTATGGAGTGTTGTTTCCGTCAAGCGCGGCGTTATTACGCAAATAATAGTTAAAGAATAAAAATAAATAAAAGCGTACGCATTCATTCAATGTTTTTCCGATAAGCGCGCACGCATCGTGATGCGTTTTTTCAATTCATCTCATGTTCATGCACCCACGCAATCACGCACAATGAGGGATCAGCGAAAAGCCCATTTTCTCTTCAACTACTTACTTGTAGGATATGCTAGAATTGGATGAACTACCGGAATCTGTATTTGACAAGCCTGGCTGATCCAACTCCACATCGCCACTACACAAACATTTAAACAGCCATTACTACAACATTTCTATACGAATACCTACAATTACTAGCCAATTACTAAACGAAATTAAGCTAAGAACACAATGTCCTTTTCGATTGTCCTTTGTTGACAATTTGCTTAACAACCACTTAATGACAACTCCTCTGTAACTTTCATTCTGACGTGAATCGTAATTGTTAGTAGATATACATAAGAGTGGTATGTACACAGTTTTTTGTATTAGGTTACAGTTTCAGTTTCCAAAAAATTTAAAAGTACATCAAGTTGATTATAAATTTATTTTTTATGAATTCGTCTAGTTTTCATCATAGTTTATCATTTTAATGCACCGATCACAATGGCGTCCGAATCAGGTATCGATTAGCGCATTTACACGACAGCTGGCATTACCGGTTATTGAACGTGAAAGTCAGCGAATTTTGAAAAAAAAAATGTATAGGAAGCGTTTCATAAATTTTCATAATAGCAATGTTTATTTAGTAGTCATAAAACAAAATAACAGTTTAAAAAAAAACAACCATTAAATATGTTACACTTATTTTTTAAAGCAAGTTTCATGTTTAAGTGTTTTAAAAACGACAATGACAGAATTCGATCAATAGTTGAAGCAATTTAATTTATTTTCATTAACCTTCCAGTGTCATTTTGATGAAGGTGAAAACTTCCTTTTATCCTTCTTAATCACTTTATAACAAGTAGCGTGTAATCAATTCCGGATACAATCGGGTATCCATTTTCTAATTAGAAATGTAAAGCATATCATAAAACGTTAATTAAAAAATAGAATCGCAAGAATTATCACAATTTTTATTTATATTTAAATTGAAATGCGAATTCTATACATCAACTTTGGTAAAAGAAAATAAATTAACACTGTTTCTTGTTCTAAGAATTGTTTAAAATTCTGAAAATTATAAAGAATGTAAATTTAAAACGCATAGGTAAAACAATCAAGTTCGGTGTTACAAATGTTTCTTCTGAAAACAGAAACATAAATATTTGATTTTCCTAACCAAATCACGTACAAATAAAACTCAAAAAATAACCGAAATGTAAAACAATATTTTTTTGCGGTTCAAGATGAAAGTTTCTTTTTATTAGTAAAAAATAATGCAAAAATTTCAAAATTCCCAACACAAAAACTGGTATTGTTAATCATAATGATAGATTTCTACTATTATATAATTTTTTAACATTCATGATGTGTAATATTTGCGATAGGTAATTAAATAAAAAAATACAAGGCTACGAATTATTTACTATTGAACTATGGTTTCATAGTGTATATCCATTTTATATTGAATTTTAATTTTAACTTTAAAAAACTACACCTTGAGAACGTTTGAAATAAAGCAAATTTTTCACTGCTAAGTTTAACTCACTTATTGTTAAAAACCCGAACGAATCAGCTGTTGGCAAACGAATTCACATTTGCGAGTTACTCAAATGACATTGAATTATATTACCGATAAGAAAAGTATGTGGTTCTTATTTTTTGTAATTTAAAATATGTCCGAACAATTTAGTGCGTTTAAATAATCTTGTTTTAGACTTTAAATATTTAATAATAATTGTAGAATTGAAATTTAACGTTGCGCTTAAGTAATTTATTTCGAAAAAATTATGTAAAAAAAGCAAGTGGATGCTGTGTTTTGAATACCTCCGAATATAAATAACCCCAAGACAACTATAAATGTTTCGCTATGCACTCTTTCAAAACTAGAAAAATATTTGAATCGAGATTTCGATACGGTTAATTTAATTCAAAGTTTTTGTGGAGAAAGTTAGACAATAACCTAATACAAAAGAAACCAACAGTTTGGCGAGTTGCTAAACATAGATAACGAAAATAATCCTTGCAGTCTGTAATAAATATTTACAAAACTCAAGATTAAGGTAGGCTATTCGCATTTTCAAAGAGAACTCGAATGCTAAAAATATTTAGATTAAAACACAAAAAGTCTTCATTTTAAATAAATGCATTCGTGCCCCCTCCGGAAGCCCAGACAAGAAAAACGCTTTGTTCTAAAAATGAATAGACACCTTTCCGATACTATCACAAAACTGAAGTCGGGGTTGGTCATCACAAATCGCAAATGCCCATCTAGAAGACCTTACTACCAAAGAAGACACTCCAACACAGATTGTCTCGTTTATTTTATCGAGAATTTTTCGAGATAAAAAGTGCGAATTTGGATAATTTTTTCTAAATTTCAACACGTGAATGAATTGGCAGCAACGAATCACGGAAAAACGGGAGACGAAACAGACACTGTCACTGAAATTCCAATGTTAGCCCGGCGGCACGATCTATAGACATCGCGATGCCTTCGCATGCGCATTAAGGGGGCGGCGACCGGTAAGGGAGATGAGAAACTGCAAGGATTATCAGGGAATACAAACGAACTCACCTTGTCGTATTGTGAGAGGGATCGCTGATGTTTCGTCTTTGTTTCCGCTGAAATTGAAAACATTATTATTGGTTACAAATTTTCACTAATGTGGAGACTTTACCTTTTCGGACTGTTCTTTCACGCTTTCTGATCGGTTTATGTTACTGCTAGACTTTTTCTTATGAGAGGCTTGAGGAAAACTAGCGACACTGAAACAAATAAACTTTTACGAATACGCCCCACACTAATCTCGGAAAATTTACCGAACTGCTCGTCGATAAATTGTTGTTTTTTCAAAATTCATTGTGGGACATTATTTCTATACAAAGAACAGGTGGATTTTAACTCGCACCGTACTCTATTGATATGTGATATCTATCACATTACTAAACTTGGCGATATCGCCATTTATCTTTATTTATCTCAAAATTATACGCATATCAAGTCAAGTATACAATGTATTTTTCATACACCTCTTATCTATTTCTATCGACTTACTTGTCAGGAGCGGAGGTTTCGTTTTCTTGCTTATTCGGGCCGTGGTCGGTGCTGGTAGTCCCTTCAGCATTTTTGGGGGTCTCTTCACGTACTATATCCGGCCTTCTGTCGGATCCGCTTCGTGACACGGGTTGACTGGGCTTATTCTCTCCTGTAAAATAAAATAAATATTCAGCTTTTGTCCCCAGAACAACATTTATGCGACAAAATAAAAATTGCCCAAAAAACAACTGCAAATACCTAAAACTGGATCGATCCTCGCATGGTATTTGAGTTGTGTGTCTTCCGTTGTTAGTTTTTGCGATCCCCCTAACTTATCACGAAATCCCCCGAAAGCAATAAAATCAAACTCGTCAAAAACATCTTTACATCGGCCTTCTTGCAACTGGTCAAGAATACGGCTACGACGCATCCTCAAAAGGTTAAGATTTATGGAACTACTTGACTTTGCTTTGGCTAGGAGTGGCTTTTTCGCAATGCCATCTTCCATATCAGCGATACCTGTATTGGAAGATGACTTCATAATACCGAAAGTTCTACTACGAACTTGCTCCAAATTCGAAGATTGTCGGATTAGACGGAAGTCAAAATTTGACTTTCGCAGTTCTACGTCTTCGGGTATTCGTTCGCAGTGCGAACTCTTTTTGGAAACGGTTGTTTTAGATGGTAGTAACCCATTCGTTTCGGTTTTGGTTTTGTATATTTTCGACTTGACTCTCTTTAAGTACGAATTGTTTTCGGAGTTTTGTTTAGTGGCTTGTGCTTCCGAATTTTTGGCGTTTTTAGCTTCTTTCGAGGCGCTTTTGATATTCGTCAAGGGATAGCTCGAACCTTTTTTATGCCTCTTGGTTTTCGAGTCTGCGGTCGTTTTATTGTCGGTGCTTTTGACCGATTCTTTAATCAAATGATTGTCCGAATGTTTCATATTTAAATTTTCTAGGCTATTTGTGGTTTTAAGCGTACCGTGTCTAAACAGATCACTCAACCGTCTCCCTTTCTTTGCTGTTTTATCGCTGGTGTATAATTCTTCAGGTCCGAGAATTCCGCTCACCGCTCTCGTCAAACGCACATTTGCTCCATTTTCAATAACAAAGCCGTCGCTGAATCTCTTTTGATTACTATTTTTAAGGTTCTGTTCGACTACTTCGCTCGGAACGTTTCTGAGGACAACATCTGCTAACTCGAGGTCGTCTGTTGGAATGATGTCATTTGAATCTGGTGGCGTAACAGCGACACTCGAGGTGTTTTCTGCAAACGGTGGTGCTTTTTTATTTCCGCGATTTCGATGCTTGCCGGACTTTTGCTGCTTTTTTCCGGTCGGCGCACTTTCACTCTCGGGACTAGTGTTCCCTACGGACTGACTATTCACAGACTTTGAGTTTTTCTGTTTCCGGTTCGTTATCTTATTTTTAAATGATGTCATGTTTGCGTTACGCATATCCGCTTGCTTTGACCACATAATTTTATTAAATACACTTATTGTTTATTAACTTCCAAGCTTAATTTATGCAAAGACTGATAATTCCCATTTTGCTAACACCAGTCGTCTCCTTTTCACTTCTTTTTAAATTGCCGACTACAATTTAACACGTTGCAAATTTAAAGCTTATGTGCCAACAATTGAAAATCATCACTGTATTATTACAGTCGGGGGCACCCACATCCGGTGATTTGATTGGAATTTTTAATACACTATACTATAAAATATTGTCACATTAGGGTAAATCCCGATTGATCACTGGGGGAACGTTGCAAATAAAAATCAGTAACGCCAACACTTGAAAAAAAAAAAGTTTGATGGCGAAGTTTAAGGAATCCAACGATTAAAACAATTAAACGAAATGATACAATACAGACCACCACTGGTTAATTAAACGCAAGGATGACGAATGCCGATTGCAAAATTGAACATACGTGCGATAAAATGTTTTATTCGTAGAACAACTCTTATATAGCGCCGCCACTCGTTTACGATTTGACGTAAAGTGTTCCAAAAATGTATCAAAACACCTCACGCACGATTTGTTGTTATGCCCCTATGCGTGTTGTCATGGCGGCACCTAACCTCACTTTCAACGCCCAAGAAGAATCACTTGCAATACCACTCGGATTCCTAACATATGATTCAAAAGATTCCGTCATAAACGTAATGGGGATACCTGAACGGTCAGTTCCCCAGCGGGAATTTCGCGGATTACCGGTCGAACAGAGCTACAAGCACGGGTAGAGCGTTGTTCTTTGTCTGAGAGTTCACGTTGGCCAGACAACTGGCGAACTAAAAACATCACCAGCGAGCAACTAAAACGTTCCCCGCGTTCCGTTTCCAGACATTTTGCCGCACAAGGCTCAAGTCCCCACTTACTTTCCTCGTTGCTTATCAGACTTTATTAATGCCGACTACAACCGCGATAAGCTTTGGCGAATTTACATTTCCAATGCAGTAATTTTACTGCACCTACTACAATAAACAAGACTACAATCGCATTAGTTTGATTGGTCGTAATAAGATAATTTATTGTTCTTATATAAACAAACTGTTAGCACCACACTGCTTGAAACGACATAAAATCGGCAGGAGTTTTCCTATAGGTTTAATTAAACAGCGGCGTATTGAGGAAAAATCAGCCACAAGACCATTAATTTCTATTATGTATCGCACTTCGAAATTGTTTTTATCTTTCCGACCTACAGATTTAATACTCGATCTAGTTACAGCTGACTAGATTTTTAGAACTAATTTCTATAGTTTGTGGAGAAAATTTGACCCATAATAAGCAAGATGGCGACAAGGTAAAACAGACGTGAAAGGGGCCAGAGGGTTTGCACCTGCATTCAATTTCCAGCCAGTGGCAGGGCAGTAAATAAGCGGAACAGGTTGTTCTCTTGTATTATTCAAATATTTGGAACATCAAATAAAAGACCGCTTTATCAAAAGTTTATATGCTATCTTTTGTGAACGGTAATCGAAGTGATAGTGGAGAAAAATCAACACCTAAATACAAAGTTATGACACTCGTAACAGAAAAGTAGTTTCCACCAACCACAAAAATTCACACCAACAATACGAAAACTTTAGCGGTTTTGTCTATAAATCAAAACTTTATCTGAATTACGAGTGCATCAACTAACATTCCTTAAAGACAGGTACTTCACTTGTTTCTAATCGTACAAACGACGTGTGCAAAAGTATATTACTTTAACAATTCGTCCTTCAATTCCTTTTTTTTAAGTGTAGGTCACGATTTTTCGACCAGTAGATTCTAAAGTTCTTATTTAAATAGATTTAATAGTAACAACCTTTGTAAATACAAACACGTGGAGGTTCATTCAAGTTTTTCCCTCTTATAAAACGGATATCCGGAATTTTCTAACGGATCTGTAAATCTGCCAATGTTATTATAAGAAAAAACTGCGTTGTGCAAAAAGAAATTTTTGTTTATTTGTTTTCGTACGAGGTTATGCAGTTCGAGAATATTTTTAAAGTTTGATATTTATAACGAGTTTTTTAATAGAATAAAAATGTAAAACATAAACATTGAAAGTATCAAAAACTGATACAATTTTTAATTAAACATTGTTTTTTAATAGATAAAAAGTGAATTTTACGTCTCGTAACTGGGAAATAAATAGATATACTAAAGAAGACTTGTTCGCTTTTAATTTTCGGAATTTATTTAATAAACTTCATTCATAAAAAGTCATTGACACAATTTCTCTTTTTAAAATAAAAATTTGGAACAAATAAGTATGTATAAATGGAATTTCAAAAATGAATTTATTTCGTTAAGTAATTCCAGTAAATCTATCAAAAAATAGCTGACAAAAATCTCTTAATCGCCTCCATTCATCACGTATGAAATATTTGGCACCATTGCAAAATTTTTACACTTTCGAATGTAAAATGTATCTGCTTTAAATCAAACAGTTTATAAAATGACCAAGACGAAATGAAGGATTATTATTCACTTCGAATTTAATTCAGGACTAAACATTTCAACAGCAGTGGTGCAATTAGAGCAACTGAAATTCTCATTATAACACCAGGCGCCAGTCTATTGACCTAAAATTTAACCAACATAAAGGCAATTTCTCATAAAGAACAAGAGAAAAATAACAGGTAACATAATAAATATAAATATCATCAGAGTAAATTTACACAATTATCAGATTACATAACGCCATTTTATTTTATGACATAGGTTGCAACTTCAGATATAAAATTATTATATTATAGCGCTAAAAGCAACCATTCATTAATAGTTATTTATTCGAAGAGTGTGAGTGTAAATCGGACGGTTTATTTGACCGAGTGGATTTTTAAACCACGAGTGTAACGAGTGGTTTACCATCCACGAGGTGGAATAAACCGTCCGATTTACACTCAAATGAGTTGAATACAACATTTTATTCTTCGAATTAGACTCAACAAGGCTTAAACGTGCTTTAAATCTGTTAAAAATAATTTGACGTTTCGTATTGAGAAATGCCAAACAGTTGTCAAAACTTTCTTACACGGGAGAAAAACCGTAAATTTTGACAGTGTCGAAGAATAAAATAAATTATTACATGTACAAAAATCGCGTATTTAAACAGAAAATTTAATAAAGGTTCAAAGGAAATTGCATTTTTACTTACTCCGTCAAAGAGAAAAAACATTTTCAGTTAATGAAATCAATCACGAAACCAGTGACTACTAAATTTTCCTCAATTGAAAATTAAATAACGGAAAACTTTTCCTAATTAAAACACCCACTGGTAAAAATATTTCTACCAAATCTACAAATGAAGTATTACTGAAAAATACATTTCAAAATGAAAATACATTTCAAAGATGTAATTAAACGAAAACTTTTTCAATCTAATTGCGTCTTTCCTGTTTCAAACGCGAGTTTCGTATTAATCTAATTGTAACTTCATTCGCAGATTGAAAACTACCATTTGAAAAACATATTGCAGGCAACAAAATTAGATTAGCGAACCCACGCGTTATAATTAAAAAGTGAAACGACTGTAAAACAAATACAGGTGTTAAAAAAAGATCACTATTGTGGCTAGCTAGCCTGTAATAAATTATTCGAGTAAGATTTGATTTAAATTGCACTCTTTTATTAAAAAAACGATATAAGCAGAGACCGCTGTCTAGAAAACATA